TATGTACAGCCTGAGCCTGGAGAGCCAGTTTGGACTTGGTAGCACTGGGAGACCAGGAGAACCGTTTGGAGCAGCTCTGTGGGTTAGTGCACAGACACATGTCTGTCTTTGTACGGACGAAGCCTGGGCGTAGATAAATGAGCAAATGTAGTGAGGAACCCCTGCAGGGAGAGTGCTCCCAGTTCCTGACACAGGAGGAACCACACAACGGTCTGCCACCTTCCAGTTTCTCAGCAGGCTTGCATCTGGCCCTGCACACTGTCCTAAAGGAGAAGATGTACCTCAAACCAGCATTTCTGCTTTCACCATTCTTGCAAAGGGCAATTTAGAGAGGAGTTGAGAGGTGGGACAGAGAATTGTTCTATCATCTAAACCCGTTTGCAGGGATCTGCAGCTGGTTAAATCACAGGTACATCTTCCAAGCTGGAAGTCAGCGGGTTCTTGTGCAGGCGTTGCCCGAATTTATTCTATTTATTGCTTTGTGTTTATAAATGGCTGCCTCTTTTTATTCAGTGAACGTTTGAAAGAGTGTTCTTGATCCTGTGGTATCTCTCCCACACCTGCACACCTTCTGCAGTTACTCTGCCATCTCTGGGCAACCTTCACACAGAGAGACGGTGTTTGTGTGAAGCCTTTGAAGGCAAGTGCCTCCTGTCACCTCTGCTTACCTAGAATAAGCTTTCTGGTTCAGCACTGAAACGAAACCATCTGGAAAAAGAATCTCCCAATAAAATACTCCTCTTAATTTAAAGAAGTTGCACATTTAAAATGTGTAGATCTTCTGTGGGAACACACTGGTTTCATCAACGTTTTCAAGTAATGCAGCTGAACTGTTTTAATCAAGTCAACATTCTTCCTTTCGGCTTTACGTTATGGCTTTGATTGAAGTAAATCACTCTGAGTATATTGTTTTGCAAAAATGTCAGAATTTATAACTTTTTGGCCCCGGACTGAATTGAAGTAAGCATTTTGAAATCTTGTTTTGTTCTGCCTGCTTGCCCTGCCAGGAGACAGGAATATGGTGTTTTTCAGCCAGTGCTAGTTATAATTTTGATGGCTGCTGCTGTTAGCCTTGGATGGCCTGTCACACAGACACTGGTTTCATCTGTGATGTGAACCCTTCTCATTCCTTTTCCATGAAGATATGTGCCTGGAGTTCACGTTCAGTTGAGCTCCTACTTTTTTAAACTGGTTTTCCATAAGGTGTAGTTGCTTTGCCTTTCCTAGGAATCCTTTTTAAAGAAGGAACTGAGGAACTCCTTTGTGGTCTGAACATCCTCTATTTACTGCTGATTTACATCTCAGGTTTACTTCTATTGACTTTGAGGGACTTAGTCCCAATCCAGAAACCCGCCTGGATACGTTCTGGTGCAGCCTGCTCTGGGTGGACCTGCTCTGGCAGGGAGTTGGACTAGATGATCTCCAGAGGTCCCTTCCAACTCCATGGGATTCTGAGATTCTGCCATCCCTTCCACGAGCACTCATGCTTTCTCAGGACGACTGTGTGCCCACAACTGGCAACAGCTCCTTTTTTAATGACCCCACTAAAGCCAACAGGGTCAGCACCTGAACCTAAGGAGAGCAGGAGATGCAGCACAGCAGGTTAGAAACCCCACGAAGGACAGAAATTGAAGCCTTCTGGGTCATGAAGCACTGCCTGAGGAGTGGGCTGACACCGGGGTTGCTGCAGAGCTCTGAAAAGCTTTAAACAGAGACTTTGAAAGACCTTTATTTTAGGCGTAGGGGGCTTGATTTGTTGTGACGTCCCACCCAACTGAGCAGCGAAAGTCAACGACGCTGATACGAGCGGGGAAAGGACAGAGTCAAGAGTAAAAAGATCAGATTCTCATTCAGGTGAAGGCCTTGTGTGTTATCCCAGTTGTGTAAAAGGACATTAAAAAAGCATTAAAGAGTCAAGAGTAAAAAGATCAGATTCTCATTTAGGTGAAGGCCTTGTGTGTTATTCCAGTTGTGTAAAAGGACATTAAAGAAAGCATTATAAGTTAATGGAAACAGATTATTGCAACAATATCTACTGATATTAAACTCCCCTGTAATATATCTACTGATATTAAACTCTCCAGAGTGCATTTTTTTACCCTCTTGGTGTAGACACCTTCATCTCACAGCTCCAGCTTTTGATGCCATTAGCAAGTAATTAGCTGCTGATCCCCAGAGCATCGTTCCAGCGTTGGGGAAGGGCACACGTCCAGAGGCGGTCGCCCACCAGCCTGGGTCACCTGGGCTGGCAGGAGCACACACGCTGCCTTTGGAGGGATGCTTCTTCTCAGGGGGGCTCAATAAGTCGTCTCTGTGCACCTCACTCCAAGCTGGGTTTTCTCTGTGCCTGAAGCAGAGACTGTCTCTTTGATATGCAAGTTTATGGGGTGGTGGCGGTGGGGAGGGAGGGCGATGGGTGTGGGGAACAGATGGAGAAAAGCACGGGGAAAATGCAATGGTTTAAAGGAATAAAAAGTGATACTTTTGTTGGAATCACCACGCCGGAGACAAGGTGCCTCTGATGCAGGAAAGGGAGCCCGAGGATAGGGAAGATTGTGGTGTTATCAACAGAAAAAGGGTTTATGAGGATTTCCTGCCTTATCAGTGTGAGGTTGGTGGCTTGAGGAGCCAAATGTTGAGGGATGTGGAAATGATCAAAAGCGAGAGGGCATGGAGGGGCTGAGTAAAGCATCAAGCAGAATGTGTGAGAGGTGGAGAGTGGGCCAGGGCTGGTGGGAGAGGGGCAAGGGGGCAAGGAGAGGAACAGAGGAAAAACTGGAGGTGACCTGGGTGAGCAAAGAAACCCTTGGGCAGAAAGGGGGTGCAGATGAGGAGGGGAGGAGATAAGGGCAAGGGGAGGAGGTAACTGTACAGGGGAGGGTAGTGGAGCAGCTCCTTGCACGAAAACAGGACTGTCCCATGATAAACTCTCAGCTGTGATTTGAACTTCCAGACAAGCTAGATATCAAGTGTGACTGGCTCTCTGCTTCTTGCTTAAGGATACTGGGTATTGCTGGGGTTCCTTGCTGGGAGTTCAAGTTTATGGCTGAGGAGCGAGTGTTTTGGGCAGGCAAACAGCGTTCACAGGGTGTCCTCCTCCCCTTGTCACAAGGGGCTTGGTCAAACTGCTGAAGCATTAAAGCCAGGAGGTACCAGTGGGAGGGGATGGTGACAGGATCCTGCTGCGGGACCCTTACAGAAGCAGCTTGTCTTTAATTGTCCTTCCTTTCATTATTTCCCAGCTAACGCTGTGTGATAATTACAAATTTGGATTACCTGGAAAAGCTGCCGAAAGTAGGATAAATTATTAATTCCCAGGCTGGATTATGAAGAATTAATTTCAGCGTCACCTATTGAAAATTCTCTTTCATACAAAATACCCCAGTTTTGAGAGCAGCTCCGAAAAAGCGAGATCCTTCCAAGCGATTATACTTTCTGACAATTCTATTTTTTCCTTCAATTAATATCCTTTAGCACACTCCACTCAGATACACTCAAATCAGTAGTGGAAAACCTACGTTTGTAAGAATTCTATCTCTGTACTGAAGTAATTCAAATTCCAGGGCAGAACTGTGGAAATTCTTAGCACAGTTTGTCCGTATCTTATCAGAACAGGCACGCTTTTCCCATGGCCTGGCCGCTTTCCAGCAGCGCCGGAGCAGACTCCTTGGGAGCGGGTTTGAATGGGAGAAGTGATCTTTCTGAATGAATTCTCTGGCAGGATTCCTGTTGCGTGTGTGGTTTATTGTTCTGGGTGATGTGACTACATCTTTACCCCCTAGATAAACGTTTTGGGGTCTTTATTTTGTGATGACGGGAGGGGTTCTGGAAAAATAATCAGATGGCTAATTCTATAAAATTCTATAGGCAAACATTTTTTTTTTCTGTTTTAACTACTTTTCCATGTTGATTGTGTGGCTTTCTGAGCGTGCTTTTGATCTAAAGGACAACAGCTGATTTACTTTAACTCTTAAACTTTTCTAGGGTCAAGGGGGTTAGTAACTAAAAAGTAAACTGCTTTCTTTTCCTCAATGCATTTTAACAAAGTGTTATTAAGCCAATTCTTTTATATGTATATATAGAATTTTTTTTTTAATTTTTTTTCCTGTTCATGGTCGTGTTATGGTGTTATAGTGAATTACTACCATGGCCATGGTGTAGTAATTCCCTATAAAGCATTAGTGGTGTATCCCCAGTTGGTGTGAGCCTCCACTGCACATCCAGTTGTAACTCCAGTGGAGCCAGAGCGGATCCCTCTTGTGTGCTGCTGTGGAGCTGTGCCAGCTTCTGTGAGCTGAGGATCCGGCCTCTAATATGTATTACAGGATAGCTAATACGATGTTTAACCACACAGTAACCGCAATATACAATGAAGTTCTATTTTAATGCTGCTGGGGCAAAAAAAAAAAAAAAAAGAAGAAAAAAAAGACCGCTAATGCCGAAGACTGAAGTGCAAAAGATTGCTAAGTGAGGGAAGGAGGCAGAAAAAAACTCCTCTTATTTTGAGTTTGCGTGTGTACAGACAAATTCTCACGTCTCAAGGCTAAGTTTTGTCTAAGAAAGATTTTTCAGGTTTGGGTCTTTGTAATTGGAACATAAAGAATACTTATCTTAAACTTACATCTGCAGAGGAAGAACTGTGTATTTACTTCTTATCTGCCAAAAAATCTTTCTCTTTTTAGCTAGAAAGATTAACAAAAAGCCATTGAAGTATAAAGGCCTTTTTTAATTGAAATATCTATACGTTTTGTGAACAGATTCAAAAGAGAGCAGCCACAACCTTTTTTTATTTTTCTTTCTTTCTTTCTTTTTCAGAACAGGGGTGGGGGGGGAACATGCAACTCCAGACTTAGTGCCTACAATGCTTGGAAGACATTATGATTAATTTCGTACTTGGGTTTCCAGATGTTGGATGTTGTCCCAACTTTTAAAGACCTCTAATGTTTAACAGGATATGTGCTGAGTGTAGTCTTTAACAGAGTTTTCTTTCATAACTCTAGGATCCATGAGAAAAGGTAACTTGGGAAAACACTGAAGATTCGGAGCCGAGTCTACAGCCTTCTAGGGAAAAAAAAAAAAAAAAAAAGAATAATTACAAGTGTGAGTTTGGAGTGAAGCTGTGTTTGTTCGGGAAGACTATGGGTGGGTCCCGGAGCTGGCGGCTGAGCTGTTTGAGTGCCATCCTCCTCGTGGAGCTGTGGGCTGGTGTTTCCCATGCACAGAGGGACTGCACGGGCGCCGAGTGCCAGCCCCTGGACAACTGCATCGAGGACGTGCTGGAGCCCGGCGAGTGCTGCGCCACGTGCCTGCAGCACGGCTGCACCTGCGAGGGCTACCAGTACTACGACTGCGTCAACGTGGGCTTCATCAACGGCAAAGTGCCCGAAGGGCAGTCCTACTTCGTGGACTTCGGAAGCACCGAGTGCTCCTGCCCTAAAGGAGGGGGCAAGATCAGCTGCCAGTTCATGCTGTGCCCGGAGCTGCCCCCCAACTGCATCGACGCGGTGGTGCCAGCTGATGGTTGTCCTCAGTGTGGGAGAATAGGGTGCCTCCACGAGGGCCAGAAGTACGTAGCGGGGCACACCTTCCACATGCCCCCCTGCAAGGTTTGCCATTGCCCCAACGCCGGTGGCGAGCTGATGTGCTACCAGCTTCCAGACTGCAACGCCTTCGCCTTAAACACTGCCAGTCCCATAGATGCTGACGACAGCGAACCGGAGAGGCACTATGATGATCCCTACAGCTACGACCAGGAGGCACCCGAAGGAGACAATGCCCAGGTGGAGTCTCCGAAAAAATACAGGAGTTATTCCTCCCACCTAGAGCAAGAGAGCATCAGCCAAGAGCAAAGCGAGGATTATGACTACCTACCAGCCAGCATGGCTCCTTCAGCTCCAGCTCCGGCCCATCTGTACACCGAGGAAACGGCTGCGCCACTCACTACGCCGCTGGCCATGGTCCCCTCTGAAGTTCGAAGTGCCACAGAAAGAAGTGAGAGGAAGAGGGTGCCCCGCACCACTGCAGCGTCCCTCCAGCAAGTGACACACAAGGAAGCACCAGTAACCACCAGCACTCCTCCGGAGCACACAACGGCCACCACTGAGACACCCAAGCACCTGGAGGAACCAGAGAGGAGACCAAAAGGGAAGCCAGGGGACAAAGAGAGACACGAGCAAGAAAGAGCCCCCCACTCTAAAATAAAAAAGCATGCCAGAAAGGAAGACCCAGGGAACAGCATTTCCGTAGGCTTCGAAGAGGGGAATTTGACAGAGCTGAATTGGTCAAAATCTTCCCATGAAACGCATGAGGGAAATGATTTCCCCAAGGTGAAGTTCAGTGCAACAACCTCCCCCCCTGTTGCTCTGAAGGAAGACCGCAGTCAGTCATCCCAAAAGCAGTCACAGACGCTTTATCGGTACCATCCCGAGGAGGACGGGGACCCCAACTCCATTCACGCTAACCCCAGGTTGCCAGAAGGTAAGAACTGCTTCCAGCGTAGATGTCTAGAGAGCATTTACTCATCACAACATTGGTGTGTATCCACTGTTTTGTTCTTCTTACTGCTCCACGTGGGCGTGAAATCAGACAATCCTTTGGTTGCTTTCCTCCATCTCTTACACAAGATGGTTGTGTTTCGTTTGACATAATAGATACCATTTCACTTTTGCCAACCTTTGATTTTGCAGACTCTGGATGGTGTTTTCTGGTATTTTATTATTTCACATGATGGTTTGTTAAATGATTTGTCCGACTTTTTCCTTCTGTTACTTGCTTTTAATTTCTAATGTGATGTTAGAGAAACATCTTACTCTACCCAAAAGGATTTAATTAGTTATCTGCTTGGATCCTCCAGTTCCCAACTGAATGTAATCACATTTGTAGCCTTTGTCTTTTGCTGGGGAGGGAGTGAAACAGTTGTGCTTCCACTATGAAAATATTTACAGCACTTGTTGTAATATTTATCCTATGGTTGAAAGGCTGTCTGAGCTCATTAGTGCAAGAACTTGATAGATACACTCAAATACCCCTGAGGACTAGTAGGGAGAAAAAGGACTGCCTCTTGCTTGGTGTTTTTTTGGGGCTGGAAGTTTATGATGTTTATGATCAACTGTGGCAAGTGTACGTAATTCCTCGCTGCCTCTGGATTCCTCTTGACATCTGCAGTGAATGTTGATTATACGCTTTATGCAATGCTCATTACTGTAATGAATGCAAACTTCATCGCTATAAATTAGCACATGCACAGCTCATATTTCCAATTCATTTTTCATCAAATCAAGAGTAATATCTCCTTTTTCAAGATGTGGCACGAAATGTTCTCATAAGACTCCGATGTATAATACTTGCAGTCTGAGTAGAGAATACTGATTACTCCCTAGACAGTGATATTTCCTCCTGGGTTATCTAGGTAGCCCTTAAACATCTTGAGCTGCCTGGTCCATCAACTCAAGAAGTTTGAGGGGAGACAGAAGGAGATCAGATCTGGAGCCGAGATGCTAGGTCCCAACACTTAACAGCGGCCTGGTGACTGTTTGCAGTCATACAAAAGATGTATGAGGTCCATGGATGGAGATGGTACCCTTTGTCTTCCATTTATGTTTTTATTGTAAATGTTGACCTTACAATTAATGATAGCAGCTATAATCGAAGTCAGACCTTGACTTCTTGATTTCACCAAAACAATGCTCTAGAAACTGGTCTTACCTGAAGACCCTCACTGCATCGTAGGGGTAAACTGGCAATGTTTGAATGCAATGCCTTGACTTGAGAAAACATGCAATGACCCCACATACCATCCAGAGCCATGCCATTAGCAAGTGTAGACTTTAAAAAATTATTTACTAAATAGTTAATGTGCTCCATGCCCAACCTCTGTGCCACCTTCTCTTCATAGGATGCCTCTTGTATTTTACTTCTAGCTCCTTTCGTTATGTGAAAGAGGAATCAAACCAGGGGGGCTGGTTGATTATCCTGGGGCAGCAGTGAACTGATTCCAGCCTTCCGGTTTGTGTAACCTGAATAGGAGGATCTGTCTGAAACATCTTCATCTGCTCTCTGCAAATGCAAGTGGCAAAAAGCATCTGCCTACACGGTGCACTGCGTTCAGCTGCAGTCAGATTTTACGCTGCTTAGTGCAGCTTAAGCACAAAGCTCCTCCCCTGTATTTTTTGCAGCCTGGCACAAAATCTGATCTGAGCTGTGCATCACACATGGCTCTGAGTTAGGACTGATGTAACTTAAAAACAATCTATTTAAAATTAATTGCCGTTTTTGTTTTGATTTGTTTTGTTTTTTCTCTCAAAAAGGAAAGATGGGCAGACCATGCTGAAAGTTTCAATGAGAGGTTTTAAGAAAGCCTGTTGGGGTGAAAGTCTTTAGAATCTTAGAATCATAGATTGGCTCGAGTTGGAAGGGACCTTAAAGTTCCAACCCCCTGACCTGGGCAGGCACATCTCCCACCAGACCAGGTTGCTCCAAGCCCCCTCCAACCTGGCCTTGAACCCCTCCAGGGATGGGACAATCACCTCCTGAGTCCTACTGCCCACACTGTTCCAGACACAGGCCAGGATGCTGTTGGCCTTCTTGGCCACCTGGGCACACTGCTGGCTCATGTTCAGCCAACAGGCGACCAACACCCCCAGGTCCTTTTCTGCCAGGCAGCTCCAGCCATTCATCCCCCAGCCTGTGGTGCTGCAGGGGGTTGGTGGGACCCAAGGGCAGGACCCGGCACTTGGCCTTGTTGAACCAGCTCTGCAGGGCTGGGGGAGCCCAGTCCTGAATATTAGACTGAAGAGCAGCTTTCTTCAGCAACCTACAGACCTGTTGAAATTTCTGTGGCAAATGCTAATGACTCCATTCCTAAAGGAACTGTAGGTGTAGAGTAGAGGTAATTGCTCAGCTGAAAAAGTGTAAATTAAGTACTTTTACCAAGGGAAGTGATGAGATTGATGGAGACTATTCTCTTTATATACTCTGTCCAAACATTGACCTCATAGCAGCCTACCAATATCTGAAGGGAGCCTACAGAAGAGCCGGAGAGGGACTCTTTGTCAGGAAGTGTAGTGACAGGACAAGGGGTAATGGTTTTAAATTGGAAGAGGGGAGATTTAGATTAGATACCAGAAAGAAATTCTGTACTGTGGGGGTGGTGAGAGCCTGGCCCAGGTTGCCGAGAGAAGCTGTGGCTGCCCCATCCCTGGAAGTGTTTAAAGCCAGGCTGGATGGGGCTTTGAGCAACCTGCTCTAGTGGGAGGTGTTGGTGCTCTAGGGAGGTTGGAACTAGGTGATCTTTAAGGTCCCTTCCAACTCTAACCATTCTATGATTCTATGATCTTACCCTGTCACTTACTGTAAGAGCAACGACCAGAGTTCTAATTTCTTTATTTGCTATTTTCTTATCCTAAAAATGCCCTTAACAGGGGAGGGTTGAATAAAGCATCTTTAAAGATGTTACTGTCAAGTTTTGTTATGATTTTCCCACTTTTTTCTGTTTCACTATGCTCTGGCATAGGCCAGTTTCTTGGGTGCATCCAAGAGCACCATTTCTTGGATAAATGTGACTCAGGTAGCAAACGGCTTCGTTGTGAATGTTTTATGGTTTGCGTTCCGGTTTTGGCAGGCTGAATAGCAATTTCTGTCTAGCTGGAACCATTGTGTTTCAGAATAGAGGTATTTCTCACCAGTTGCGGGTGAGTTTATCACGGTCATTTTTAGAGATAAGGGTAATTGCTCTCCAAAGTGAAGTAAATCGCACCAAGTAAATATTTGCGAGCTGAGATCGGTGGATGTGAGACTGGCATTTATTGGTAGGAGGCACTGGGAGGTTCTTGTGTAACTTCTAAGGATGTAGTAAAGCTCTCAGACATCCCATCTACCGCATGTTTGCTGATATTGGGGCTCATGAAGAAAGACAGCCTTGGATTTCCAAACTGAGAACAAACGGGAAACGAGAGATCCATAAAGCAGAGCTGCCGTGAGGGTTTCCAAGGCTTTCCCTGACCCCACTGACCCTTCATCCCTCCTCCTGCTGCCCTAACATCCACTGGAGGTGGGAGAATTCTGTGGAGGGTGCTTTGGGAACACAAACTCTTTGCAGTTACTTCTTATTTCTTGGTATGAGGTGAAGTTCTTTCACATTTACATGAATTGCCCCAGGCTTCATCCCGTGTTGTCTGCTTCGTCCCTGTTCTCTCTGCAACAGGAGGAAAGCAGCTTCCAGCCCTCAGAAGTAGGATAACTGAGGAATAAAAATAAACCTCTGGAGAGGGGAGTGTGGGGAGAAAAAGCAGAAAAAGCCTCTGGGCCAGTAAATGTGAATCGGCATGGACTGCAGCCCCAGGTGACAGCGTTGTCTCTTTGGTAGTTACAGTTCGGGGTAAGATGATGGAGGAAGGTAGCGTGAATGGGATACTTATAGAAAGAAGAGGAATAAAACACTGAAAAATTAAGAAGCCTTTTAAAAGGGAAACACAAAACAGATGTAGCAGTTCTGCCAAAATTGGCATTCACGCCGTACGAGGGAGCTGGATGCGGTTTAGGAGGAAAACGAAAAAACACAGCAGTTTATTTCCTTATCAAAAAATACCAGGTATGGCATGTGAGGGGCTGATCCTCTCATGGCTTCTGATGCACAAGCTCTTCCTGGACCCCTGCCCTTGCCCACCCTGGTGCTCTGACCCCGGTGCCCATGGCTCACCCAGCTCTACTGGCCCAGCTGGTGGTGAAGCTGGGTGCAGCTTGTGCAGGGACCTCTCTCCGACCAGCTGGCGGGTTTGGGCTACTGGGCCACCACCAGCCAGCCCTGCTGAGCGTGGACCTGTTGTTTCAAGTTTGTGCTTGAGGGGAGTGTTGCAGGATGAAGCGTGGCTGGGTCCATCCCCTACACGCAGGATTTGGTGCAGTAGTCACCACAGTTGTGTATCCCTGTGTTTTTACTTGTCTTCCTTCCCATGTCTAAAAGGACAAGGAGGGGCTGATGTTGGAGAGCAAGGGGAAGGGAGCCACTTGTGCTGGGATGGGCCTTCTTGGCACTTTCCATTTTAACAAGATCAGTAATTTCGTGTGTGTGCAGGCTGAACACTGCTTGTGGCATGTATTTGTGAGCAAAGGGTGGAAGGGAAACCAAAGCCCTCCGCAACGTACGGAATCACGGAATTGTCAGAGTTGGAAGGGACCTCTAGAGATCATCTGGTCCAACTCCCCTGCCAAAGCAGGAACGCCCAGAGCACATCGCTCAGGACGGCATCCAGGCGGGTCTTGAAGATCTCCAGAGAAGGGGAAACCAAAGCCCTCCCCAACTTACGTTCAGACTAATGCTTTGCAGCCTCTGAAACAAACAGTAGCCAGAGGTCTCAAATCTCCAGGCACTGGGCTGCCAGATGGCTTTCCGTTTCCAAAGCTCTTCCTTCCAGTGGATGCAACGTTTGGTCCCTATGAAGTGCTGTGACTAGTCCCCAGGAGGAATCTGAGCAGGGATC